TGCGGCCTGCGTCTCCCCCGCGCACGCAACCCACAGTGACGTCCCGCCGGGGTCTTCCACGCTGCAAAGCTTGGCAAGGTAACGGCGAGCTCTGCAGCCCGGCGTGCCGCTTTCTGGAGCAGGCTGTTACGGGAGACTCGCTTTTTAGCGTGAAAAACAACACGAAAAAACGTTCCTGCTGCTCGCTGTGAGGAAAAAATAAGACTGAAAATAAGACCTGGGCATATCCTGTTGGCTCAAAAACAGAGCAGAATGCCACGGTTCTTCAAGTACTTTGTGGTTTCGAAGCCAGTTGTGTGTTTTGGAAGACCTGCTTGCAAAACTTAAGCTCCTGAAAGTAGAAATATGGTGCTTTTAGAATTGGTGCATGTAGAAAACATCCACGAATGTTGGGTTCAAGGTGCTGATGTTTGACCAGGGTGGAAATGGTCCATGTCTGATCCTCAGCACATCCAAGTCCCCTTGGTGTGTGTGTACATACCATGTACAAGACCATGTACATGGCCTTGCACCATGCCAGGGCCCAAAAATGATTTAATAATATTTGCATTAGCAAATACGGACTCAGGCAGCGTGGAAGTAATTTTATAAATAGCACTAAGTCATAATTCAGTGGTTCCATGTAAAACTTATGAAATGATGTTAGGAATTTAAGTTACAGAGTTTCCTTAAGATACACAAAAAAAAATACTTTAAAAAGTCTCAAAGACACTAAATTATTGAAGGAAAATACCGTTTTTTCTCAAGTCTGGTAGTGCTTTAAACTAGTTACCCTCTCATTCTGTGTCTTCCGTGAGCCCTTGCCTTGCTCAATGTGTGTGCTGCCTCACTATCTCACTTCTCTCTTTGCAGGGGGGCAATATCCCACACTTTTCTTCATTAGACCGAGATACTGTGTCTCAACTGGCTGGTGAAGGTGTAAGAAATCTGTCAGAGTTCTCATTTTTAATGGCTCCGCCGTGCTGAATGGTTTGCAATGAGGACCACCTCAAGAAGGTCCAGCGCTCCCCCGTGTTGAGCGTTTTCAGTTTTACTCAAAGTTAACATTTTACGCTTCTACCATGTAGGCAAAATGATTCAGTTCTTAACGTGTCTGCCATAAACTAGTCATATCTCAGTCTGAACATCCTCTGTTCCAAAGGATGTTTATACCCCACTGTAATTTAACTGTCCTTTCAATATCCAACTTGTTAATTATGTGAAGTGGTGCCTTTGCGATGAAGCTTGGTCTGCAGTTTTGGATGTACTTAGGCTCCGGATCTGTGTTGTTAGTCAAATCACTAATATGACAGTAATCGTGGTCTGGAAAACAGAATGTTTCTAATCATCAAGGCAGTAGGTTCCAGAGCTTCCAGTAGGTTCCATGAGAGCCAGAAACATTTTCCCTTAAATAGGAACATGACAAGTTCAGGAACGGGAATATGGGGTTGTCCAGACTAGCAGAGAAATGGGCTTATTTATTCTGGCTATTTTTTTAATATTGCATTCACAGAATCTTTTTAGACGTGATGGGAAAAAGCACCAATCGAAGGAGTATTCTTTGAGATGGCACCAAAGGTAAGAATGAGAATCGTGTCTCCACGTTGTCTAGTTATTGCACACCACAGCCATGGTAAAGGGCACTCACACTATTCCATTTTATCTTCCAAATGATTGGGTAACATTGATACTCAATTTCCCATTTTATTAACATCTAGATTCTGCAGCTGTATAAGTGCTACTGATGTCTATAGGATCCTCTCCATGGAACTGTCTGCGTTTAAGGAACAATATGCATTAAATCTCCCTCAGCCTTCTTACCCCAAAACATTAATTTCTCAATTTAAAAACTGTAAATGAGTTGCCAGTCAAAAAAGAACCACAAGAAACCCAAACCCCTACACTCAATATATTAATAACTATAAAACCAATAAACAGATGCAGAAATAACTCCAAGGATCCAGAAGAACATCTGACTAAAGTCATAATGAAAACCAGGAGTGAGACTTTCATGTGCAGTGCTTTGGTTTTGACTTTTCTCTCCTCTGTGTTTGGCTCCTCCGTGTCTGAAGCTGCAGGTACAAATACATGTTGATGTCAAAGCGTGCCTGGTACTGACTGTTCTGTACTGATGTTCTCCGCTGATTTGCGGTGATTTGGTATCTAGGCCAACCAGAATCTTTAACCTTTTCTTTGTAAATATCTCTGGGCTTTGGTTTAAGAAAAAAGTTCTTAACTACCATAAAAATTAAAGACGACGTTGGTCTGATATACCTCAAACCTCCTAGGGTAGATGGAGCTTCTCTTCAGACTTTTACATTAGATGTGCAAAAATCTTCATTTAAGAAGCTACAGAAGCTTTTTTGAATGAAATTCATCTTGAATGTAATAAACAATTTTGTAAATTGATTTTTCTTTAAATAACAAAGCTATTTGAAGATTAAAGTAAAGCCTAGTGTTATCTCAGTCATCTAACTTTAATGTACTGTCCAAGCAGTGTCACTTATGAAAGAATAACGCCAGGAAAGCAGCTCTCGGGTAACTGCTGCGAGACTGTGAACAGAACCAGGGCAAACTGCACGCAAAGGGAAAAGCAGAAAAAAACTCAGTTTTCATGTGTGTGGGCATCGGAGCACCCTCCGGCTGCGCCCGTTCACATAAAGCCTTCGACTCCTGCGCTCGCCATAGCAGAGAAAAACAAAACTCAGAAACCTGCCAACACAGAATGGTTGTGTCACCCTGTGGGACTCCTCGTATGACTATAGCTATTGTCCTTTGGGTGACCTGACCCGCGTCGTCAGATGTGGCTTTCACGCGGTATTTTGCGTATTAGCGTTTATTAGGCTTTGAAGATGAAAATCTCCCCAAATGCCAAGCGCTGGTTTTGCCCGGGCCCCCGCGGCGCTTGGCGGATCCGCGCGCGCTGCCGGCCGCCCCTTCCCGAAGGGATGTCCCGTGGCCTCCCATGGGACAGGGAGGACACTCATGTGAGAGCTGCATGAGCAGCCGGGGAGCCGCGGGATCCTCGGAGCCCCTCGGCCGCGGAGCCGCGCTGGGACGAGACCTGCGGTGCCGTTTGTTTGTGTACCGCGCTCGGTGGCACGGGGACCTCCGGGACCCCAGGGTGCTGCAGCTCTGTGGCCACTCAACAGTGTGTCCCTCCTTCCCTACGGCAGCTCCTATGGAAGTGTCACCCTTGGCCAGCATTTCCCAGTTGGGAAGTGTCACCTGGCCAAGTGTCACCCTCGGCTGGGATTTCCCAGCCGGGGAGGGTCACCTGGCCACGGTTGTGCCTATTTGGGGGCCTGTTAGGGCTCCTTTACAAGGCCAGCTCGCCAAGCCACTTCTGATGGGTCTTGTTGGGATTTTTTTTTTTTCCAAAGAGCAGAGTTTCTAGCACTTTCTCTCTCTCCCTTTCAGTGTTCTGCATCAAGACAAGGCTCAGCCCCGCGCTCGCCTCCTGCCTGCTGCTGCCCTGATGCCACTGGGGGATTCTGGCTGCAGGTAGGGCCTGCTGGGGACCCTGGCACCAGGGACCTGCAATTTGGGGACCTTGACAAGGGGAACACCCACACGGGGGACCCTGAGGCCAGGAACCCTGGCACCAGGGACCTGCAATGTTGGGGACTGTGACAGTGGTGATCTCCACACTGGGGACCCTGAGGCCAGGGACCCGCACAGTTGGGGACTGTGACACCAGGGACTCTGCAGGTCCCTGGCATCATGGGCCCCAGTGCTTGGGTCCCCACTGTCACGGTCCCCGACTCTGCAGGTCTCTGGTGTCACGGTCCCCAGTGCCAATGTTGG